GAAGTCCACTACTGCCCGAGCGCGGGCGTATTCCAGGGGGGTTGCTGCTGCTGTTGCTGCTGCTGCTGCTGCTGTTGCTGCTGCTGTTGCTGCTGCTGTTGCCGTCCCCGGTCCCGCGATGGGCCCCTGCGTTTGATCCTCGAGTACCGGCGCGTTCAGCGGCGGCCCCTCGTGCGGTCTCACTCCGTTGGCCAGGTGAAAGAAGTCCGTTATCCGCCGCTGTTGGGGCCCTTGCGCCTGGATCTGTTGCGCTTGCTCTGGCTGTTCTGTCGCGGGGTTAGCCGCCCTTTCCAGTCGCCTTCCGGCTGCTCGCAGACAACACCTGCCTACCTCCATGGCAGACAGGGCTGCCAGGGCGATCACATCCCAGGGGGCCTGCTCGCAGCCGGTCGGGGCTTGGACCAACCACAGCTGCTTCCGGGTGATGCCGCCTGTCGCTGCCTCCTGGGAGGGCTGTATGTGTCGATCAATCTGCTCCCGGACAGCTTGTGCGACGGGGCACTCCCAGAAGTGGTGCATGCGTGGGGAGCAGTGCTGGTTGCTGGCGTTGCCGAACCCTCCACACCCACAGCGTTCCGGCACCATGCGGGCCAGGTGCGTGTTGCCGGGCAGGGGAATGCCGTCCACGGCGAGCCGCCACAGCGTTTCTTTGTTCTCGTTCTCGCACCGCACCCCCGACCACAAGCGGGCTTGCGTCGCCCTGAAGCGGCTTGTTTCCGCTGAGGATGAAGGTGTCGTTTCCTGCGGGTGCAACGCTTCTTGCACAAATGCTGCCATCAAGCGTCCCCGTTTCTCCTCGGTGGCCCCGCATTGCAGCTGTGTCGCTAGGCGGACCGTCAGGCGTGTGAGTGGGACGGTTGTTGTGCCGCCCGGCATCTGCCATCCGACCCGCTTTAGGATCATAGCCATCGCCTGAGTGCTGTTGGGGGTGCTTGGAGCCGCCATATCCCCCGCCGTTGGCCTCTCTGGCTGCTGCTGTTGGGGTTGCTGCTCATGCGGCTGCGTCTGTAGCTGTTGCTGCGGCTGTTGCTGCTGTTGCGGCTGCGGCTGATGCTGTGTCTGTAGCTGTGGTTGTGTTTGCAGCTGTCGTGGCTGTACCTGCCGCTGTGGCTGCGGCTGAGGCTGCGGCTGCAGCTGCGGCTGTGGCTGCGGCTGTGGCTGCGGCTGTGGCTGCGGCTGTGGCTGCGGCTGC